GGCCATTCCATTTTTTTTTCTGTTTATCGTTCACCTAGCATTCAATGAAGAAGGTGATGATAACGAATAGTGATCAATTTAAAAAAAACCAAACAAAACAAAACAAAACTAGAAACAACACAAATCTGTGAACAGGGTATTCAAATACGGACCCCTGGAAATTCCAGAGGTGGGATCAGAGTACTCCGTGGTCAAATTTTGCATTAATTAAAACAATGCCCTGACACTGATATAAAACATCTTCAATATATCTGAATGTTATGTTGAAGGCCACAACAAGTGTTTTCTTCATTTTATGTAGAAGTTTTTAATGAATTCTGCTTCATAAGAATATAAAAAAACAGGTCGGCTAAAAAAGGAGCATGCAATAATAAGTGCCCATTGAAATTCCAACAGATCAACAATCTACAACAGTTCACACCTCCCCCCCCCCCCCCCCAAAAAAAAAAAAAAACTCATAGGCTAAAAAGTATAATACGTCATAAAAACGGCACTTTTGAAGGAATTTGATTTCATCATTCTGTTTTTCTCGTAGAACAATCTATTCTTTTGCAAAAGGAATGTATTAAATGCTTAGTGTGTACCTAATTTGACAGATTCTTGACAAACTGGAAAGAAATTGATAGAATTCACAATGTTGCAAGCAAAAATAAGTGTCTGAATTTCTGTTTTCTTGTGTTTTCCCCTCACCTGGGTTGTCAAAAACAAAGGTGCTCACGGACACTAAACACAGAACAAGAGGCCCATGGGCCACATCGCTCACACACCTGAGCACATTGGCTACGTAAAAGCACAAATCAGTTCAGTATTGAAAAGATTACGGGGTGAGGGGGGGGGGGGGGCTTGAATTTTAATTTACCTGATGATGCTTTTATGTCAATATAACAAATGGCTTTGTTGCACTTGAGAAGATTTAAAAAAAAAAATATTTCCATATATTCCTTTGTAAAAATTTGATCCCACATTGTGGCTCCTCCCTATCCCAGGGGTCATCATTTGAACAAACTTGAATCTACACTACCTGAGGATGCTTCCATATCAATATGACTAAACATAGCTTTTCTGTTCTTGAGAAGAAATTTTTTCTATATGTTCTTATGTAAAACTTTCGATCCCCCCATTGTGGCCCGACCCTATTCCCGGGGGTCATCATTTTAACAAACTTGCATCTACACTACCTGAGGATGCTTCCATATCAAAATGACTCATTATGGCTTTGCAGTTCTGCAGAAGAAAAATTTTCCTATATATTTCTATGTAAAACTTTGATCGTCCATTGTGGCCCCATCCTACCCCCGGGGGTCATGATTTGAACTAAATAGAATTTACACTACAAGAGGATACTTCCACATAAATATGACCACTCACGGCTTTGCTGTTCTTGAGAAGAAGATTTTTAAAATTTTTCCTATATATTTCTATGTAAAATTTTGATCCTCCATTGTGGCGCCACCCTACCCCTGGGGGTCATGATTTGAACAAAATAGAACCTACACTACCTGAGGATGCTTCCATATAAATATGACTCATCATGGCTTTGCTATTCTTGAGAAGAAGTTTTTTAAAGATTTTTCCTATATATTTCTATGTAAAACTATAATCCTCCATTGTGGCCCCACCCTACCCCCAGGGGTCATGATTTGTGGCCCCGCCCTACCCCCGGGGGTCATGATTTGAACAAATTTGAATCTACACTATCTGAGGATGTTTCCACATGAGTTTCATCTTTCCTGGCTCTGTGATTCTTAAGAAGAAGATTTTTAAAAGATGCTATTAATTTTTCACTAATTCTTAATTATCTCCCCCTTGAAAGTGGCGTGGCCCTTCATTTGAACAAACTTGAACCCCCTTCACCCAAGGATGCTTTGTGACAAGTTTGGTTGAATTTGGCTCAGTGGTTCTGGAGAAGAAGTCGAAAATGTGAAATGTTTACGGACAGACGGATGGACGAACGGACAGACAGACTACAGACAAAATGTGATCAGAAAAGCTCACTTGAGCTTTCAGCTCAGGTGAGCTAAAAACTTGGTATGGTCTGATCTATGTAAGGCATGATATTAAGAATATTGACTGAAATAATCTATAAACTTATTGGGAAAAATAAAAAAAAAAATAAATAAAAAGTGTCGATTAAATATCAGATTATATATATTCTGATAAAAAATGACTTAATTACCATATACATGCACGTGTATTGACACCCTTGTAAGTATATATAGGGCGAGGGCCTTGGAAATCTAATTTGTCGGGGATCCCTAAGCGGTAAAGATGTTTCTCATCTCTGGTGTCATGCTTCTACTTGTTTGTTCAGCTTTTGGTATGTATAATTATTGCTTTATATTACTTGAACAAAGATCTGATATTTTTTTTACACAGAAAACATCATTCACCCTTTATTTAATTTAAAATCTGCATTTTAAGCATATTTGATAATAATGCATAATCATTGAATAAGGAACATTGCCTTTAATGATTAACTTCAAATAATATTGCACGCTGGAAAAAGTTCTCAAAAAAATTGCTTTTATTTGCTCTGAATATTAAAATACGAAGTAAATAAAAAAAGAAAATTCATCACAGGTCAAAAGATCCGTGACTCTAGAAATAATCCAATTTAAAACGGACTAAAATTTTTGATAAAATGCCTCATAGAAAATGATTTAAATTTACAGTTTGTGCTCAATAATATTAAAGTATGACACATTAGTATATATAGGGTAATCACTTACAGAGAGATAAAGTACATCTGAATAATAACTATAGTTAATCGAGGCGTTATCGAAGTTATCACTAAAGGAAATCAAGTAAGTTATCACTAAGTAAATCAAAGTGTCAAAGTTATCATTAAAGTAATTCAAAGTGTCAAAGTTATCACTAAGTAAATCAAAGTGTCAAAGTTATCATTAAAGTAATTCAAAGTGTCAAAGTTATCACTAAGTAATTCAAGTGTCAAAGTTATCATTAAAGTAATTCAAAGTGTCAAAGTTATCACTAAAGTAATTCAAAGTGTCAAAGTTATCATTAAAGTAATTCAAAGTGTCAAAGTTATCACTAAAGTAAATCAAAGTGTCAAAGTTATCATTAAAGTAATTCAAAGTGTCAAAGTTATCACTAAAGTAATTCAAAGTGTCAAAGTTATCACTAAGTAATTCAAGTGTCAAAGTTATCATTAAAGTAATTCAAAGTGTCAAAGTTATCACTAAGTAAATCAAAGTGTCAAAGTTATCATTAAAGAAATTCAAAGTGTCAAAGTTATCACTAAAGTAAATCAAAGTGTCAAAGTTATCATTAAAGTAATTCGGAGTGTCAAAGTTATCACTAAGTAAATCAAAGTGTCAAAGTTATCATTAAAGTAATTCAAAGTGTCAAAGTTATCACTAAAGTAAATCAAAGTGTCAAAGTTATCATTAAAGTAAATCAAAGTGTCAAAGTTATCACTAAAGTAATTCAATGTGTCAAAGTTATCACTAAGTAATTCAAGTGTCAAAGTTATCATTAAAGTAATTCAAAGTGTCAAAGTTATCACTAAGTAAATCAAAGTGTCAAAGTTATCATTAAAGTAATTCAAAGTGTCAAAGTTATCATTAAAGTAAATCAAAGTGTCAAAGTTATCATTAAAGTAATTCAAAGTGTCAAAGTTATCACTAAAGTAATTCAAAGTGTCAAAGTTATCACTAAGTAATTCAAAGTGTCAAAGTTATCATTGATGTACATGTAAATCAAAGCACCAAAGTTTTCATTAAAGTAAATCAAATTGTGTCAATGTTATCACTAAAGGAAATCAAGTAAGTTATCACTAAGTAAATCAAAGTGTCAAAGTTATCACTAAGTAAATCAAAGTGTCAAAGTTATCATTAAAGTAATTCAAAGTGTCAAAGTTATCACTAAAGTAAATCAAAGTGTCAAAGTTATCATTAAAGTAATTCAAAGTGTCAAAGTTATCACTAAGTAAATCAAAGTGTCAAAGTTATCATTAAAGTAATTCAAAGTGTCAAAGTTATCACTAAAGTAAATCAAAGCACCAAAGTTATCACTAAAGTAAATCAAAGTGTCAAAGTTATCATTAAAGTAATTCAAAGTGTCAAAGTTATCACTAAGTAAATCAAAGTGTCAAAGTTATCATTAAAGTAATTCAAAGTGTCAATGTTATCACTAAAGTAAATCAAAGTGTCAAAGTTATCAGTAAAGTAATTCAAAGTGTCAAAGTTATCACTAAAGTAAATCAAAGTGTCAAAGTTATCATTAATGTACATGTAAATCAAAGCACCAAAGTTATCATTAAAGTAAATCAAATTGTGTCAATGTTATCACTAAAGGAAATCAAGTAAGTTATCACTAAGTAAATCAAAGTGTCAAAGTTATCACTAAAGTTAATCAAAGCACCAAAGTTATCAATAAAGTAAATCAAAGTGTCAAAGTTATCACTAAAGTAAATCAAAGTGTCAAAGTTATCAGTAAAGTAATTCAAAGTGTCAAAGTTATCACTAAAGTAAATCAAAGTGTCAAAGTTATCATTAATGTACATGTAAATCAAAGCACCAAAGTTATCATTAAAGTAAATCAAATTGTGTCAAAGTTATCACTAAAGGAAATCAAGTAAGTTATCACTAAGTAATTCAAAGTGTCAAAGTTATCACTAAAGTAAATCAAAGCACCAAAGTTATCAATAAAGTAAATCAAAGTGTCAAAGTTATCACTATAGTTAAAAAATAGTTTTCAAAGATAACACTCTAGTGTCATAGTGATCAATATAGTAAATATCAAAGTATTAAAGTTATCACTTTACTAAATCAGTTTTCAAATTGATCACTATAGTAAATCAAAATGCAAAAGTTATGACTATAGTTAACTGTAGTTTCAGTAGAGTCAAAGTCATTACTAAAGTTAACTATAGTTTACTATTATAATAGATAACTCTAGTTTACTATAGTATTTGTGTATTAGGGTATATATATCAATCATGAAAATGGAAATTTAAATCTTGGAACATTGTTATTCGCTAACAGGAAGTGTAATTCACAAGGAGGGACGTGTGTCTCTAAGTATAGAATGTGCCCCTTTCCCAAACAACCAGTCAAACACCTCTGTGACGGCAAGAAGATATGCTGCTTACCTGGTAAGTAATAGATCTCTACTCTTAATGTAATCTCTGAGGAATTAATTAGGAAAATCAATTTCGATGTCAAAATACTGTGTTTTTACTTAAGTGAACTTATAATATATGGTCGAGGAGAATAACACAAAGATTAAGCTACACTATTATTTATCAGAATTGAGGTGGTATAATTCTTTTCTTGTCTGCTTCGAATAGAAAATGAAACATTCTAGACAAAACTTATTTCGGCATCAATAATTACAGTTATAAAGAAAATATATTGAGTTTTGTTAAAACAAAAAATATATACACTGGATCCGTGATAGATAAAGATACCAAATATCTATGGTAGCAATCATCCACAGTTTAATATTCCCATTGTATAGATGAAGATATCAAGTGTACAAAGCAAGGGGGTATCTGTCAGCAGATGACTAAGAAATGCGGTCGTTCCTACGTCAGGTTTCTTTGTGGGGGTCGGTCCAGACAATGCTGTTTACCAAGTAAGACTCTGGTCATTACAGGAAATGTCAAATGTTTTTTAGGAAACCTCTAGAGAAATCTTTCTAGTGTAATTTCTTTCATGCTTAAGATAATTATCTGTTGTAGTGTTAAATTAATACTTAAGTTATCAAATTTATTTGGAGTGTCTATAGACCTCGTCAAAAAAGTTGTTGGAGTTAAATTAACATTAAATTAAAGTCAATGGGAAAGCATTTGATGATACAGATGAAGTAAAAGTCATATTTGACCACAACGTGAACTTTAGATGCATTGTGTAATAGCTATTTCATAGAAAATAGCGTTACCTTAACGTTTTCCAGGTCCATTCGAATAAATATTACGTCTCTATATGAGTGAAAAATTCTGGAATGGGACGTAAAACAACACACAATCAATCAATCGAATCAATATTAGAAGCTTAAGTGTGTTCTAAGGTCCATACTTTTCAAAGTTTTTCCAGATAACTTGAGGAAATTAGATGAGAATTACAAAGGTGTATAAAAGGTCCGATTTCTTTGTCATGGACAAGATCCACAGATGATAGGAGATTCAATCGAAAAAAGAAGGGAAGGGGGGGGGGCATTTATATGTGTTAGAAACAGAGAATCATGTTACAATACTTCGCGTAAAATTTGTATTCGTTTTGAATATGTATATAGTACATATTTTATTCACATTTCTTATCTTTTAGATGCTGCTGCACCTTGTACTGCAAAAGGTGGGAAATGCATAAAATCATGGAAAAAGTGTAAGGGGAAAAAAGTAGGGGGATTGTGAGGATACAAGAACAGAAAATGTTGCATACCACGTACGTAATATATTGCTTTTCAAAGTAGGAAAAATAAACAATAATAAAATACACAAACAAAATATTCGTAATGGAAAGATTAGTTAAATTTTCGAGTTGTTCAGCTTGATTGAGGCAATCTAAGACTTTAGAGACACATTTATTTCTACAAAATAACCTATTATTAATAAGAGCGTAATGATGATCCATAACGAAATAAAACATTCGGGCTAAGTGAATACTGTACACTTCAGGTGGTAATATCATCTTATTGACCTCAAAACAGGAAGAATTGTCTAATTATATGATTAAATGATACAGAAGTAAAACGAACTATCTTTCTTGGTCGTTTTCAAATATGTGATTTCTTTAATAATTCTTACTGCCAGATTTTATTTTTGTGTGTTATATAAACAATCTTACTCCAGACATTATTATATGCTATATACACAAATGTAATTCACACGTTGAAATTTTTAATTTCATGCATATGTACATTGCATTTACATGTACATGTTTGTAAATATTGTTTTGTTAAGTATGTCTCCTAATAAATTGAACGGTTGAAGTCCTTCCCGAAGGCAGTTATGAAAAAAATAAGCATAAGTAATTGATCGTTTTGGAAGTTCCTATCTATTTTTGATCCAATGTAGAAAAAATAAAAGCCAAGTTTACCTTGGAGGCCTGAAGAAGGCGAATATAACAACTGCATCTATTTGGAATTTTTTGTCCAAAGTAGAATAAGTGCTTGTGTTCACCTAGAAGGTCTCGTGCAGGTGAACATAGCTTTCTATAATTTCTAGAATGTTGGATCCCAATCAATAAAAGAGCTAGGAATTATTCAATCATATGATATAAACACTTTTATCTGCATGAAAAGCAAGGGATTTTAAACTTCTTCAGGAGGAAATCAGAAATGTGTTTCTCGTAATATGAATGTAAAATTAAAGAGAAATTCTGTAGCAGACTTACAACATTATTCTAGATAACTTTATGCGAAGTGAATGATTTCTTATGTAAATTCTATATTGTATTTTTCATTGGAAGTGATTAATGTTCTTTTTTTTTTACTTTTAGGCAAATATTGTCATAAAGGCTCAGGAAATACTAGCGACACATGTTGCAAAATACCAGGATTCTATCATATGCCATAATACTAGTGAATTATGATGTTCTTTTGAGCTCCAATAAATAATATATTACACATATATGCGTTATTGTTAATAAAAAAAAAACCAACGATCCAAAATATAATCAAATACATTGAGACGGACTTGAGCAAAAATAACAGAAATCTTGTTTCTCTAATTTTTATCGTCTGTATGAATTCAGAAACATTTAATGAAATATGAAGGTATCTTATGTAAACACATTCAAAAGTCATTGCAGCTTGAGAACAGCTAAAAACGGACTCCTCATAAATATAGATGAAACATCAGATGTGGGATCAAGTACCATGGAGGAGTAAGCATCCCCTGTCGACCAGTCAGACCAGTCGTGTGTCCTTTGTCTTGGGTAAACGGAGTAATCTGTAGAAAAATCAATATGAAAATAAGCCAAACATATTGAAAACATTGGTTACAAGGATGTTTTTGTAATGTCATTGCATAGAGCAAAATTTGTGAAATATTGACTAAAACGAAATGCTAAAAACCTTATGATATTTGTCATTAACCTGCCTCACCACAGAAATTCGTCTTTCCAAGAGCATGCCCTTGAATAACGAATCAACTGGTTTTTACTACAAGTATAAGAGAATTCGAAGTTGACGTAAAAGTTTGTCTTCATGTTTATCACAAAATGCCATCGATGTCTTCCTCTTGTTAAAATCCAAATATAAACAGATGTGTTTGATTTTGTGGCGTCTTTTATTTCCAGTTCATTGGGATAGTGTATATCGAATCAAAGGGAGTAAAAAAAAATCACGGTTGAAAAGCCTACATTTTAAAAACAATTCGGTAAAGAAGATTAGATTTAAGTATGGCATGAACTCAGTAACGCATGATTTTTGAAACCCACATTTAAGTAAGGCATGAATAAAGAAGCCGACATTCGGCATGAATTTAGGAAGCCAAAATTCAAATAAATCATGACTTAAAAAGCCTACATTTACACACGGTAGGATTTATATTATAAAACATGAATAATATAATGATACTGCAGGTGACATTGAAACTTGCTGGACCCGAATTAATTTATAAACGGTGTTATCTTCAACTCACACCTTCTTTTTTTACCCATGCATGGTAGAACCCACGAGGACTCCTAGCTGTATTCCCACAAACTTAATTTCATTTTTTTCTGACAAGATCTAAAGTTCTTAATTTTCGATTTTCAGAATCCCGCATCATTAAGCAAAAAAGAAAAGCTTATGCATGCATGGTTAGTTTATGTCTATCATAAACAAATGTTAGACTGCTTTAGTAAGAAAAGTGTGTGAAGAAATGTGTATAAATGTGTTAATCCGAGGACGAAACGTCAAAAATTTATTTTTTATTTGTAATAAAGGGTCTTTTCTCCTAGTAGAATAAAAATTTCCTTGCGTTGATTTATAACCGTTTTTATCTTAAGCTTACACTAGAAGAGTGTTGCATTGGCTTTCTCGAACTCAACCAAATGTTTCTTTCTAAAATTTAAAAACAGACACAACTTTTATGTAAGTGACTAGTTACCTAAACACTTCACATACCTTTTTTTCTGTATTCATAACCAAATCAAATTGTGAACTAAATACGGATATCTTAAAGCTATATATGGAGTATTTTTGATAAGTTAGATAACCAAAATTAAATACATCTTCCTAGCAAACACAGGCAATTTAACAGATTCAGAGAGAAAAGCGAGGATAAGATAGGCAGATTTAGAGAGAAGTAAAGGAAAAATTATGTTATATTGACAAGATCAAGTACATTTATATCTCCTTCCATCATGGCTTTAAAGATAAGTTTTCAAGCAGTCATGCGCGTGGCAGATAAAAAAAATATTCAACACAACTACAGCGAAGTTTAAAGTCAATTTAACCACAGAACCGTGGCAGGATGATGAAATATATGAAGATAACGAACAGTATTCAGGCTCAAAAGTCCATCAAACAATACAAAATAGGAGCAGAGCAAACACGGACCTCCAAACATCAGAGGTGGGATCAGGTGCCATGGAGGAGTGAGCATCCCCTGCCGACCGGTCACACCCGTCGTGTGCTCCTTGTCATGATCGGGAAATAACGGAAAAATCCGTCGACAATTCACTGTGTGAATAATGGCTTAACAATTTGTATGAAAAACGTCAGTCAGCATTTGACTCAATGATAAATTGTATTTGCTGACAAGGTCATTGTATCGATCGACCATAGAACTTACGAAATGATGACTTTAAACGAGACAGCTGATATTATTGTTTCATCAACTTGTATGTCAATAATTTACTTCGTTTTAGAAATTGTACATACGTAGAGCATGCTCTTGCGTATCGAATCAACTGAGAAATATATATACCCCGTATGCAGGTGATGAAGGTATATTGCTGCATAAGGGAAGTTGACGATTGAAAAGTTAAGTCATCACGTTTATCATAAAGCTTGGTTGTTAGATTACCATTAACGTCTTTTTCAAGTAAAATATCCAAATATAAAAAAGATGTGTCAGACTCTGTGGTATCTTTTATCTCAAGCTCACAAGGATATATCGTATCGACATAAGAATGGAAATAACCATTGTTAATTGACAATACGTCGTCGATATATCTAAATATCGAGTTGAAGGCCACAGCAAGTGTTTTCTTCTTTTCACGTACAAGATTTTGGACAAATTCTGCTCCATATGAATACAATAAAGGTCTGCTAATAACGGGGCGCAATTGGTACCCATGGGAATTCCAATAGATTGTTGGAAGACCTGGTCTCCAAAAACCACATAGATATTGTCAATCAGAAACTCAAGCATCTTTTTAATGTCAACTTCAGAGTACTTGTGTGTACAATCAGAATGTTTTTTAACAAAATAATTTTGCAAATGACCAATGACAAGGTAAGTAAATTTACGAGTTCCATTTTTATTGAAAAAGCAGTTGTCAATGAAATCAAAAAGCCTAGACTTTAATTTATCGTGGGGAATGGTTGTGTATAAAGTTGAAAAGTCGTAAGTTTTTAAGATGTTGATTTTGGTAAAGTCTTGTGATTTCAAATTTTCCAAAAGTTCCTTGGAATTTTTAAGTATCCACATCTGATTTACACCACTTCTCGAATATATTGTTGCACAGTACTCTTGAAGTTTCTCTTTCACTACTGTTAATATCTTAGTGAGGAGTAAAGAAAGAGGCTTGGTTGAACATTTACTGGAACCAGCTATGTATCTTTGTAAGGATTTTTATGAAGTTTCGGAATCCAAAATAAATATGGTAATTCAAATTCATTTTGGTTGTTTGGAATATTAAAAATATTCAAAACTGACATATGATTTTGAAGAATTTCTTCCTTAGAAAGATAACTATGAGTATAAGTTGGATTACCACTTGTAGAATTAAATCCAAGATCCTCTAAAATACATTTAATATAATGAGCCTTACAAACGAAGACAATGTCGTTACCTGCTTTGTCAGCAGGAACTAGTACGTACTGATCATGTAATCTATCTAATTCTTTTTTCACTTCTGGATTATTGAATACAGAAGGATAGATGGTTCTCATATTGCCTCCTCAATCTTTTTATGCGCGATTTTAACATACATCTGATACATTTAATCCATTCTGACAAAGTGTCAAGGTCTTCTTTTTCATGTCTGGCGCATCGCCTGGCGTAGTCCTCTACAGAATCCAAAATATTTATAAAACGTACGCTCAACTTGTACCTCGGGTCACCCGCAAATAGTTCGTTATTTTGCGTAGTAATATGAACTCTTCAGGCATTAAAAGCACAAAAGTAAATTCATCTATATCAATAGGATGACCGTCACTTTATGTTTTAATTGAATTTTATTTAAAAAAAGTTTATAAATCTTACTCAAATACAATTATATATAAAAACTTTACATCTATCTACTTTCTGATAGATAAGGACAGACGTGAAAGTGATGTTTTTAACGTTTAGACACACGACGACAAGTTGTTAATAGGTCAGGCCCATAAGAAGCTGTGTCGGACGCCCCCCCCCCCCTCCCCAAATGTATTTTTATAATGTGTATTTTACTTTAAGACAGATATTCATTTTATGATAATGACTCAGTTATTGATTAATTGATTGACTGTATGTTGTTTAAGCCCCATTCAAAAATTTTTCACTCATATAAAAACGTCACCCTGTACCAGCGAAGTGCTTCAAATCTAGGCCTTTATACGGTACTCGGGCCATTGAGCAGTGGGGTATCTATCATGCCAACGCCTGTCGTGACACAGGGCCTCGGCTTTTAAGATCTCATCCGAAAGACTAACAGCTTTCACTTCAAAGTGCCGAGCACTTGGAAAAGGAACAGTTGTTGCCGATTTGTTATGGTTCAGTTACAATTAGGACACTGAAAAAATTAGATATGATAAAAAAAAAAAACATATTTGAAAAGTTACAAACAATAAGTGAACACATCGTAATTTTTTGTGGCCTTTAAATATCTTGAATTTATTTAAGACAGTTTACAACGTTACCCTACTATTTTTTAAGAAAAAGAATCAAACAAATGCCAGATTCATGCACACTTTATTGAAGTTTCTGAAATAAATACGGAATTATTTTTATATAAAAAAAAATAAATGAGTAATTTTTTGAAATGAGGCTTAATATTTTTTCCCTTTTCGACCCTTTGAATTTTTTTTAAATCATAAGAAAAACCAATCATGATAAGTCATCGTTTTACAATTATTTTAAGGAGACACAGTGAGCCAAAGCAATATCTGTCATTGATGTCATGTTTTTATGATTTTTGTATCATTAATCGAAAGATTTATCAAAAATTTGAGTATAGCGTAGTATTGAAAAAAAATCAACTGCACTCTAGAGCAAGCAATATTTTATTAAAATGCCCAATTTTATGAAACTTAAAACATTTACGAATTGAACAAAATTTACCCGTGCCATGCAAAAACTCCATTTCCTTGTTTTTGTGTAACTATTAAGTAGATTTGGTTAAAAGTTCCCAACAAAAACAATTTACAAGATTACCACATCTCCTTTTTCTTTTAGAAAAAAGAATTAATTAATATTTAATTTTCCAGTCATTGGGTTTTATACATTAAAAACTTTTTACATAAAATAGATATTTTGTAACCTAGTTAAAAAAAAATCAAAAATAAGATCACAAAATTTAGTATTTAGTAAACACATGACGGATGTCGCAGAGTGAGATAAAGTAAGGGAATCTGATAGAAACAATTCACCGTTATAAACTCATAACAAAATGTTCAAATGAATAAACAGTTATCTAATCAAAGAAATAAATCTTATACTTTGATCACGTTGAAACTGCAGAAGATTTTACATCAAACATGATTGAAGCTGATTTTCAAAAGATTTTATATCAGATATCTTAAATTTTTTCATTGAAGTAAAAAATTCAAACAGGTCAATGAACTGTAGAACCTATATTTATCTAAATGTTTCTCCATAAAAATTCAAAAAATGAATTTGTGAATATATTGTAACTTTAAGTAAAAATTTATTTGAGTTTGCAAAAAATGATGAAACGTGATGCTCAAATTATACCTTCGCAAACTAAAGCAAGTATTGCAGATGGGTTTGATCGGTTTCCATAGGTCAGTAAGTCTGGAGCATACCTCCTGTATGTCGCATGATTTATTTTCAAAGGGCACCCACAAAGACCATACCTTTGGTATATCGTGTGATTTTTCCTGAGGGCACCCAGAGATAGCATACCTTCAGCATATCGTGTGATTTTTTCTGGATGGACTCACAAAGAGTATACCTCCCCTTTTCCTGCATGACTTAATTCTAGAAGGCATCCAAAAAAGAGTATACCTCCTTTACATTGCATGGCCAGTTCTAGAGGGCATCCAGAAAGAACACCATTGAACAATGCAGATACTTTTCTCCGCCTTTATTTATTTATTTTTGGTATGATGACCAGCTGAATTACGTTGGGACATCTTAAATATGTACATGTATCCAGAAGGACTTTATAATTCCTAAAGTAAATTATGCAACTAAAATAAAAAAAAAGTGTCAATCAAATATCATATCTAGATCTCCTCTGATAAAAAACTGGGTTTTTTTTATGGTTATTACCATAAACTGGCGCCTCTGCAGTCATATAAAGGGTGAAGGATTTGTTGATCTAGCTCATTTAGGAATACTGAGAAGAGATGTCCAGTCTTTTCATCCTGGGTGCAACGCTTCTACTTGTTTGTACAGTCCCTGGTATGTACATTGTTTTGTTACTTAATAAGTTCTTTGGTGTCTTTAAAAAGATGATTTAATATCTGCAGTTTAATACTGATGTTGAATAATGATAATAATAAAAAAAGACTGCTTGGTTGATAAAAACAAATAATAAATATCCCAACTGTATTATAGCAGATGTTCTCCCAGGTTTTAGTTTTGTTTTGTTTGTCATAATTCTTAAAACGTGAATAATATATATGAAGGTCACAAGAAAAAAATCTTATTTTTAAACGGATTGATATATTATAATGCATTTTTGTAAATAAAAATCTCAGTATTTCCTTCACTCACAAATTGTAAACACATTAACGTTTTTAGCCTCTGCTTCTGATAATTGCACTCCACAAAATGGGGAATGTGTCTCTAAAGACAGTGGGTGTGATTTTCCCAAGCAACCAGTGAAACACCTCTGCCCCGACGACAAGATATGTTGCTTGAAAGGTGAGTAATGAACCTCTTCTTTGTAATCTGAAAGGAGTTACGTGTGTAATTAATACCAATTAGGACTTGAAAATACTGTATGTGTACTTGTTTTAAATATTGAAAATACGGTGCATCTGTAGGTCTTATATTATCTGATCATTAATATAGTCGCTGTACATATTTATCGTACATAAGACAACAGTTTAGGCGTATGATTTTAGACATAATTCCCATTTATGACAATCATTATGTAAGAGTGGAATGTTTAGACATAATTCCCATTTATGACAATCATTATGTAAGAGTGGAATGTTTTCAATATGTATTCAATTGCTATTGACTAAGTTCATCTTTTCAGCATATATGGATTTTCTTAATATTTGAATTTTTAGCTATAAAAAATCACTTGTCCCCATTGACAATTTTCGTTGAATATCTACTGCTCATATAATTATATTTAAAAAAACCCCACTGTCCGTTAATCATTTTCTACTCCAAAAGTCTTCAGATTAATTAATATTAGGGTATTATGTACTTGATGGAGAATCTGCCATGTCTGTTTCATAATTGGATGTTTTATTGACCATAGACGATAAGGGCCAACAAACAGCGAAACTGAATGACAAACGAGATGTTAATCCTTGTTTTTACTAATTTTGACTACGGAATATTCCGTCTACCTGATCAAAACATAGGGCTCACTTCGGATATGACCAGGATGCTTACTCTTAGTAGGCACCTGATCCCACCTCTGGAATTTCCGGAGATCCGTGTTTTATGCCCTGTTCACAGATTTGTATTATTTTAGGTTTTTTGAGATTGATCACTGTTCGTTATCTTAACCTATTTCGTATTTAAGAACAGAGAGTTAGGTCCTATTAAGGATAGAATTCCTTAAATGACATTGTTGATATTCTTGTAGTATCAACTTATTTTTCAATGGCCTGTCTCGTTTGAGATATTGTTAGTACGTATCGAATCAACTAGAAGACAAACTCCATATGTAGGCGATAATGGTATATTGCTGCATAAAAAAGGAAAGTTGACAATAAAAGTTGAAGTTTTTACGTTTATCATGAAGTTTAAATGTTGGTTTCCCATCAATCTCTCTGTAGTAAAATAAACATGAAACAAATGTATCAGACTCTGTGTTGTCTTTAATTTCGAGTTCAATGTATATATATTTAAGCATCAATAATTTTAGAGAGATATTGCAATACATGTTTAAATAAAAATACCAAATTTTATTATCGCCAATCATTTTAAATAATATAGATGAAGATATCGGTTGTACAAAGCAAGGGGGCATCTGCCAGGAGATTACTGAGAAATGCGGTCGTTCCTACGTCAGGTTTCTTTGTGGTGGTGGCAATAATAGACGATGTTGTTTACCAAGTAAGTCTTTGATTCATTACAGGAATATTATAAAAGAAAATAGTTATCATGATTGAATACTTAAGTATATCAATAAGTTTGATTTTTTGAGTATAATATGTCTTTCTCAACAAAATTGTAAGTTAATACACATGTATTTTGAAAGTTATTTTTTGAATAGAAAATTCTTTATTTCTTTTCTTTTTATTATACCTTATCGAAATTAACGATTTTACAATTAATATAGGGAACCATTTTCAGTTCGCATTTACATGTGGTCGATCTTGAAAACTCCGTGTTTTTTTTTAAAAAAAACACATGTACTTTGCAGTCAATGAAATAACACCTGGAATCATATGATATTAGTTGTTCTGTAATAAAAATGTAACATCGCTCATTTATGAAGCGTTTAATTTGGATTATACTGACTCGATATCCATCTGTGCGAGTCGAAGTAGTTTTAGTCGTCCACTAAATCCAGTTTTGGAGTCTTTTCGAATCTGGTTAACGTAAACTATAGATTCGGCCTTCACAAAAATTTTCTTTCTCTTTTATTTTTTGCCTTTTGCCATTATTATCTCTCCGATTTACAGAATTACGGTTGCCTTTTCAAACACAGTGAGGACCAAACCGAGAACATATTTGGGGAAAAGGCATGAAAGTTGAAAGGCGGAAAGAGATTAGTCAAACGTATTCTAGAAAAAAAAAACATTTTCAATCACGTCCCTCGTCTGGTATGATGTATTGAGGAAATTTAGTGGACTACCTAAACTGTAATACGACCTAAATTAAACGCTACATAAATGATCGTGATGATGCTTTTTAAAATTAAAGAATAATATTGCTAAATGATTTCAGTCTTTATTGTACTGTCTGCATTACTTGATTTTTTTCAGTTTGACTCTGTGTAAATTCGTACTGACGTTGATTCCCTTATAAATTTCACCATGTTGCTGACATAAACAAAAAAAGTTAGCTAATAGTTTGAAGGAAAAAATATTCTTTCATTGTTCAATCCCCAAAGATTTTTAACAGTATTTATTGTCATCTCTCGAGAGAGATGACACATTAAGTTTGTTACCCGGACATGAAGCCCCAGTGTAAGCTGCCATTGATAAGCTGGTGGTCTGGCAAATGACACGATTTCTAAATATAGAGATGTAAACAAAACTGCTAAATGACAAGGAATGTGCGATCTGTCAAACAGGCCATCTTAAAAAAGAAAAACTACGCATTAATCATAGAGAGTCACAGAGACAGAATCGCTTGGATAGTGGTGGGTCTTCAAAATACATGCAGTTATCTAATCATGGCCAGAGCTTGTGTATCGGAATGCACTAAACATGGCATCGATTAGAACGGCCAAGGCGTGGATCAAAGTATTTACAGAAAAACAAAGTGGCGGGTCTTCAAATAACATGCAGTTATCTATGATGGCCAGCGCGTGTGTATCAAAGTACACTTTACATGGCATCGATTAGATCAGCCAAGGTGTGGATCCAAGAATTTACAGAAAAACGAAATCAAAGTATAAATACTCGCATTAAAAGTTTAAATACGACAGATGTGAATTGATGTCGAAAATTTTACCTTTATGTGTATCTTAGTCATTCAATAACTTGATGCCATTTTTAAAAATATTTTTTTAAAACAAATGGTAAATGTTAAAACTACAGGCATTGGAAGAAAGATTATAATCATCGTGAGTTTTTACGCATGTCTGCACTATTCTTTATTTTTTGTTCTATAAAAAATAGATGTCAGAAATACAATACTGTAACCTCTGTATAAAAGAAGCAATTTCTTTACCCGACTCGTATTTTGAGAATTTATAATTAAATCACCTGCAATCGTTTTCTCTTTGTAGCTTTAAATTGCATTATTGGTTAATGGCAAAAAGCTATCAAATCACTTCTCTTATTCTTGAAATATTATTATATAAAATGATAGTTTCCTTGAACAGCCTAAATATCAGGGTTGGTAAATTGGTACTCTTTCAGATAATTTGTAAATGCATAATTTTAGCTTATACCGTGTAAATTTTATTACTGACCTATATTTAAATGCATGTTAGGGTTATTTCTTTAGATAAACCATATATTTAAAAGTGGAAAATCTTTCGAAATCAACTGAGGGCCGGTGTCGTATAGTGAGACTTCTCCCATAGTGAGACTTCCCCCGGAAGGCTGGCTATAAAGTGAGAATGTCCCCTGGGAAGACTGGCTATATAGTGAAACTTCCCCCCGGAAGATCGACTGGCAATAGAGTGAGACTTCTCCCGGGGAGGTCTCACTATATAGCCTGTCTCTCCCCCCTTTCATAGTGAGACTTCCCCTCAAATGTAGTTTCCGGAATATTTTATTTCATTGTAAAACAATATTTTTCAGTATATGAATAAAAGTTCTCCGTTAATTAATAATTAAAACATCTTCATAGCCTTTTAAGAGATTGTTAGCCAAAAATAATTTTGGGATGACATGTACATGTATATTGATGTGAGATAACTGAATGAAAAATGTACGTTTTTGTTAGAAGTATACATCTTTCTTTACTACATTGTATTTATTGCATTCTCCATGAAGGTTAACGTAAGCAAATTCCAAGAATTTTTAATGCGCACTTCTATATTTATTCATACATGTATCTATTTTATAAGATCATTATCAAAATGCAAATATAAAATTATATACACCGTCGATGTAAATAAAATACAACTGAATATGGAAGGGGGACGCCTCACTATGGTCCTTTAAGGGGGAAGACTCACTATATAGTAATTCTCCCCCCCCCCCCCCCCACCGGGGAGTCTTACTATATATAGCCAGATTTCCGGGGGGGAAGTCTCACTGGGGGGGGGGGGTGTCTCACCATATTACACCGGACTAACTCAGGTTAGCGCTTTAAACTTCTTGGCTCTTGCCCGAGTAAGCTGCTGTGATGTAAAGTCAATAGGAACGCTAAAGTTTTACCCATCTTCCTGTATAACAATTGTTTACAAATTTTACGAGTACTGCTTAGTGGTTACATTTTTTAAACACATATACAAAAAAAAATATTTGAAATTACTGTTGCAAATGTTCACTGAAAGGGCAGCTTGCCTCTCCCTTCCCCACATTTTTTTGTTGCAGCATATTCATAACCCCCCCCCCCCCCATGTGTTTTTCGAGAAAATCAAAAAGTTTAAATCTTCCCTCCCCATCCACGAAATAAGAATTTCGAGTTTGAACACTCCTTTTTTTCCTAGTGTAAGATTATTCAGGTAAGTTGTAATTTTTTTTTTCTGACTACCCCCCTTTTTAGAAAAAAGTTCTTCTGCTTGAAAAAATGTTACATTCCACTGTCTATTAATGAAGCCAAAGTGATGACATTTCAGGCTTTCTGGAAAGCCAAACTTGTATGTATTATGTTTTGATATTTTTAGATTGTACTTTAAAACAAAGGTAGATTAAAATTGAGTAGATAATAATAGAGTTAGAGAAGGAAAGACTGTTCTCATGCCACATAACTTTATTATGCTCGAATAGATTTCTTTCAAACCTTTATATATTTGGTGTCTCGCTGGGGTTCTATTAATATGACGTTAATCATAATCTCCAAGGAGAAATTTACCATCGTTACTTGTAACTTTAATATTGTTTATTTGTTGTTTTACGTCCCTCTCGAGAATTTTTCACTCATATCGAGACGCCACAACTTGCCAGTGGAGGGCTGCAAATTTAGACCTATACTCGGCACTTAAGGCCATTGAGTATTGAGAGATCTTTTTCGTACCTGCACTACTGCGAAACGGGACCTCGGCTTAAACGGTCTCATTCAAAGAACCGGTCTCCACGTCCTTCAGTGGGATTCAAGCCCGCGATGTAAAGATCAATTCCTTACACAGCGACTCTATAGAGCGAACGCTCAAACACCACTGCGCGACGACTTTAACATTGAAGTGATTAGAAAATCACTGGAAGCTCCACACATGAAGTATGCGTGCCAGAACGTGGATTTTGTTTGTCAAGTTAAGAGATATTTAAAAACAGAAATACCTGTTCTTCATTTTTTCCAGACCTCTTGAATCAATATTCAATACAGCTTTCATGCAATTTAGCTTAAATGTGCTCCAGTGTGGTCCATAGTTTTGATGTTGAGCTCATTATCGATAAGAAATAAGATGAAGATTGTAGAAAGTGTAAGAATGTCCTTTTTCCTGCAGTGAAATTGATAGATAAAGTAGATAATATACTTCGAATGCTTTACGTAAAATGTCCTGCATTTGTCATGGATATATATAATAAATTATGCATACTGTATTTCCTGTCTTTCAGATGCTGCTGCACCTTGTACAGCAAAAGGTGGGAAATGCCTGTCACAGTGGGATAAATGTTATGGAAAGAAAGTATACGGATTGTGTGGAGATAAGAGCAGAAAATGTTGCATACCTCGTACGTAATATATTTCGTTTCTCAGTCGGAAAAATCGTAAAATGTACAATCAAAGTTTTGGTCGAGTGCAGATGCGTTTGAGTTCGATTTGCAGAAGCTTGGTTAAGGCCAATTTAGATTATAGAGACACATGTATTCATTTCTAAAAAAATAACCTAAAATAAGGAATAATTGGAAAAATAAATATTTTAGATTTTTCCCTTTTTTGAAGTGATTAATGTATGTTTTTATTTTTATTTTAGGTAAATGTAAGCATAAGGGCTCTAGATGTGGTAGCGACACATGTTGCAAAATACCCGGCTTTTATTATTTGCCACACTGGTGAATTATGATGCTTCGTCTGAACAGAGAATAAAAAATAAAATACACAAATACACAGATATATGTGACTATGAATTACTGATCTTTAAGAAGGAATGAAAATAATATAATTAAACAAATGAAGTGAAGCTACCATTACAGAAGACCAGTTTTCTTACCTTCTTTACGTATTATGATCAGCATGAATTTACTAGCGTGCATTTAAGGTATGACCAGAGAAACCTTTCAATTCAAGCATAAATAAAGAAGTTTACGTTTATGTAAGGTACTACTGAAAAAGCCTACATTACCAAGTGATGACTCCAAGAAGCCTTAATTTATGTAAGGCATACACACAAAACTGAAATTTCAGTTAGGCATGAATAAAAAAAACTACATTTAAGTAATGCGTAAGTAAATTAAGAATCTTACAATTAACTAGGGTATGACTTACGAAGCGTTTATTAAAGGAAGGCATACATTAATAACCCGTCATTAAAGCAAATGAAAAGTTTAAATAACAAATAATGATCAATCTTATTAACACATGTTTCATATTCGGATTACTAGAAAAAGACGTTAATGGTAACCTAACAACAAAGCTTTATGATAAACGTGATGACTTCAACTTTTTAATCGTCAGCTTCCTTTAGTAAAGTAGCAATGTACCCTTATCACCTGCATATGGGGTTTATGTCTCTCAGTTGATTCGATACGCAAGAGCATGCTCTACGTACGAACAATTTCTAAAACGAGGCAAGCTATTGACAAACACGTTGATGAAACAAGATTATCAACAGTCTCGTTCGAAGTCATCATTTTCTATGGTTCTATGGTCGATGCAATGACCTTGTCAGCGAATACAATCTATCATTAAGACAAATTAAATGCTGAGTGACATTTTTCATACTGATTGTTAGGCCATTATTTATACAATGAATTATCTACGGATTTTTCCGCCTTTTCCTCCGATCATGACAAGGAGCACACGGCGGGTGTAACCTGTCGTCAGGGGATGCTCACTCCATGGCACCTGGTCCCACCTCTGATGTTTTAGAGGTCCGTGTTTGCTCTGCTCCTGATTTGTATTGTTTGAATGGACTTATGAGCTTGAATACTGTTCGTTTTCTCCATATTCCACTCCATATTTCATCGACAACTCTACTGCAACATAATGTTGCAATTGTAATCAAAGAAATTTTAAATTAACGAAAAAATGCGACAACAGGAATTTCAACAACATGGTTAATAACAATGGCAAAATTGTGTCATTCCAAACTCATATGACAGTCGGATATCTGCTTGACAAATAAAACCTGGGCAGAAATAACTAATAACTACCTATAATGCTCCAAATCCAGCACCAGAGAATTGAATTATTCATTCGACTTATTTGTAACTCATGTGCATGTTCAGATCAGGTATACATAAATTTATACTCGTTTCTAAAACTCGATTTTCCATGTGATTAGAAAGTGTCCTGAGCAAAAAAGGGATATGTCAAGAACTGATCATCACGTATTTAAACACTGAATGTGAATGTGTTGTAGAGTAGGATTTCCCCCATAGCCAGCTTTCCCCCCTGGAATCTGTACTCCATAGTAGGATTCCCCCTCCCCCTCCCGAGGGGAAATCTCACACTAGATCCCAATTTCCTCCTCTTTCTTTCTCAGAGTAGGAGTTCCCCTCTTTTATCAATACTTAAATCATATCGACAATATTCTAGCTAAATGTTTATATGAAAATAAACTGTTTTTAAAATGGACATATGAATGTTTTCGCTCAAGAATTGTCTTTAGTATGAAATCTTAAAATATATACTGCGTCATAACTGATCAATATGATTGATCATAATTGAATCCATATATAGTTCAAATCATTGAGTTACAACCCAAAATTTTAGTTTCTGTCGGTAGAGCGGTATCTGTTTGTTCACGAATTTTAAAATGTCTATCTGGCCACCTTTACTGATTTGATAATTTGTTTGTCAACTAAAGGCCTAGGAATCTGCACTAAATCTTTTTTAGAAGGGATATGGCCTTTTATTTGAACAATATATATTGTTAACACGCTAGACAATATGATTTAAAAATAGTACCGTTCTGAGTAATCTGGGTTATGGTTTTTGATTTGTTAAGTATTTATAGCGCCTAGGGAGGTTTTTTTTTCATCTGGCCCTTCCGCGGTGCCGTAAGTATTTAAAAGAAGCGTAATATATAGCTACAGATTATACTGTGTTTAGATTTCATCAACGTTTGATTCTAAAGTCTTCTATAGTCTTTCGTTTTTTAGGTCACCTGAGTCACTCAGGTGACCTATTGCTATCTGTTTTCGTCCGTCGTCGTTCGTCGTGCGACGTGCGTCGGTCGTAAACTTTTGAACATTTTTAGCTTCTTCTCTTGAACAACTGAACCAATTTCAACCAATTTTGGCATATAGCATCAACGGGTGAAGGGGTACAAAAATTGTGAATTTCATGGTCCCTGCCCTCCTGGGGCCTGAGGGGTGGGGCTAAAACCATCAAAATTAGTGCTATCTTTAAAAATCTTCTTCTTTACTCCTGGACATCAAGCGGTCAAACTGTTGGCATGATTGTAATAAGCATTGAGCCCTCTACCAAAATTGTGAAATTCATGGCCCCAGGGTCAGGGGTTCTGGTGCTAGGGTGGGGCTATATAGATCATATAGTGAAAGTGCATTATTTCTTTGAAAATCTTCTTCTCTTCTCCTGGGTATTATTTAAACAAAGTGCATGGTTATGACAAGCAATGATGCCTTTTCCAAAATTGTGAAATGCATGGCCCCTGGGTCAGGGGTTCTGGTGTTAGGGCGGGGCTCTATTGATTATATAGTGAAAATGCATTAATTCTTTGAAAATCTTCTTTTCTGCTCCTGGGTATTATTTAAACAAACCAAGTGTATGATAATGATGCACAAGGATGATTTTTCCAAAATTGTGAAATTCATGGCCCCAGGGTCAGGAGTTCTGGCGTTAGGGTGGGGCTCTATTGATTATATAGTGAAAATGCATTAATTCTTTGAAAATCTTCTTTTCTGCTCCTGGATATTATATAAACAAACTAAGTGCATGGTTATGATAAGTATTGATGCCTTTTCCAAAATTGTGAATTTCATGGCCCCAGAGTCCGGGGTTCTGGTGTAGGGCGGGGCTCTATTAATTATATAGTGAAAATGTATTAAGTCTTTGAAAATCATCTTCTCTGCTCCTGGATATTATTTAAACAAACTAAGTGCATAGTAATGGTGCACAAGGATGCTTTTTCCAAAATTTTGAAATTCATGGCCCTAGGGTCAGGGGTTCTGGTGCTAGGGCGGGGATATATAGATCATATAGTGAAAGTGCATTATTTCTTTGAAAAATCTTCTTCTCTACTCCTGGGTATTATTGAAACAAATTGAATACATAGTTATAATAGCGAGCGCAGCGAGCGGCGCAAAGCGCCGCTCGTCACTGCGAGCTCTTAAAGCAACGCGTGGGCGAAGAGAAAATTCGGACTTTGCACATTGATCCAAACGAATATTTTTTCTGCAGTTACCTGTGGTCCCATAATGCTTTGCGAATTGCATCTCGCCGCAAACAACGTTCTCGCGGTAACAAGAAATTCCAAGAAAAAAATAAACTCACCTTGATTTGATGGATGTATAGCAGATAAATAGTAGATTAACCTAGCACTGTTCAGACTTCGTTTTGGTAATGCAACTTACAAACGACGTCATGTGACGTCAGAGTCTAGACGTACTAAATGTCACGTGCGAATTGAAGAGCCCGATCTAAGTAAAACTGAATATAGGTATCTGCGCTCACCCTAACGGTCGCACCGTCAACATATTAAGCAAGGGTGACTCTACTAAAATTGTGAAATTCATGGCCCCAGGGTCAGGGATTCTGGTGGTAGGGCGGGGCTATATAGATCATATAGTGAAAGTGCATTATTTCTTTGAAAATCTTCTTCTCTACTCCTGGGTATTATTGGAACAAATTGAATACATAGTTCTGATAAGCAAGGGTGACTCTACCAAAATTGTGAAATTCATGGCTCCAAGGTCAGAGGTTCTGGTGCTGGGGGGGGGGGGGGGGGGGGCTCTGTTGATAATATAGAGAATCTGTAGTAAAAATGCATTATTTCTTTGAAAATCTTCTTCTCTACTCCTGGGTATTATTGGAACAAATTGAATACATATTTATGATAAGCAAGGGTGACTCTACCAAAATTGTGAAATTCATGGCTTCAAGGTCAGGGGTTCTGGTGCTGGGGGCTCTGTTGATAATATAGAGAATCTGTAGTAAAAATGCATTATTTCTTTGAAAATCTTCTCTGCACCTGGGCATATCAGAGGCAAAAATAGTAAAAGTTTTAATATAAAAATGATTTTTGAACATCTGGACCATTTGGTCAAGTGTTCTGGTCCTGGCCAGAGCTCTATTAATTTGTATTCAACTGAGAGGAGTAATTCCCCTTTGCTATTTACTTTTGATAATTAATCACTGTAAATAATGTACTCTAAAGATTAATAGAAGAGGAGAATTATGCAAGATTTTTTATTGTATAATACAAAAAGTACTTTTATAGTTTTTATGATCAGGTAGACTTGTAAGTAATAGATAAATAAAAATGAGACAAAAATAACTTGTTTTATTCAATGTTCATCAAAGACCAAGAGAGTCCAATGTAAGGGATTTCATCAAGGAATTAAAGTAGTACAGAATCACTGATAATTTGTCCATATACTGTATGGTGATGGTGATAAATGGGGAACAGATTAGAACCTAATTTATGAACGGTTAATGAACAGTAGAGTAATCATTTTGTTGATCCTGATCACCCTATTTTTCTTGCTTTGGGCAACAAAGCTTCACCTTTCAGTTCATTTTATACTCTATGGATCCTCTAAGTTGTTGTATTATACTCAGGTAACCATTAAGGCCCTTGGGCCTCTTGTCTATTAAAAGTGTTTGATTATTAGGTTAAAATGCTTAGTTAACTTAAACGCGTAATAATTGTTTTAAGTTTTAGAAAATGAAATATGGAGATAACAAACTGTATTCAAGATACAAACCTCATCTCCTCTAATATTTTCTGAC